CCCCCGCCTTCTTCTATTTTTTCCCGCGCGTAACCTTGAGTGAAGAAGAGGGGGGTGTGCGTGGGTCGATAAGTAATTTTGGACCACGCCTTCCCCCCCCCTCCCCAAATGAAACATTTTTATAACCACCCCAGAGATCAACATATGTATCAATAGAACAAATTGAAGGTGGCTTACGCGTGAAACATTTAGCGGCCACCGTCCGATTTCCAGGTTGTCCATTTGGTGAACTCAGGAGAGCTCTCCACACGGCTCCAAACGCCCCTCGTCCAATGACGTCTTGTAGCAGGACACGGTTCACCGCAACCTCCCACTCATCTACCTCTGCATTCAATGGCTCCATCTGAATTGCCTGCTCTTGGTCAGGACTAAATGTAGAAAATCAACATTGCTTACTTTCAGGTTCAAAACAAAGAAAAGTGATAAAAAGAAAAGAGAAATCAGAGAGTAAAAAAATTCGTTTGCCAGGATAACTTGATTGGCGAGATAATCTCTCTTGCCGATAGTGAGAGAACAATGTTTTCACTATACCAAAAACATAAATTATTACAAAACATATTAGTAATTGTTGTTATTTAAGTACACTTTGTCAATCGGATGTTTGTTAAAATCAAAAAAGAAACAGTTGGTTTTAAAATCAGAAATTTTACTTATTTAATTAAATTTTTTTTTGCATTTCGATTTTTATTTCAAAGTACTAAATCTATGGATTAATCTAACTGAAAATATATGGAAGGTACTAAAGAGATAAAGAAATTAAACAAAGGAACTAATGAAGCTGATTCTAAAAACACATAATGAATGTTAATAATGCATCACAAACACGATAAGCACGATAAAAGTAATTACTGCGATATGATTTTTGTTATCGTCATCATGCAATGGGGGATTTTTTTCCCGATGAATTTGATGAATGAAAGGTAAAGTAGTTGACTTACAGAGCCATAGCTGCAATTCCAAATAATGAATTAAAGGAGATAAAGAAGGAAAAACTTTGCATTAATTTATTAAATCAAATATTCTAATAAAAATTCTGTGTAGTGGCAGGAAATTTGAATCTGCACAAATTAGGAGTGACGTGATATTTGCTGAATTTAAATTATTATCAATACATATACAAATGTGAAAAAACTCTGCAATTAGCAATTTTTGGCCACACGCGAGTAATTCTTCTAAAAATATCTCTTCTCTTAGACTCGTAGCTCAGTGTTCCCCATCCCCCCAGTAGACATGTTTAATAAGTTTAAACATTTCCTTCTTTTACTTTCAGACAAAGCAATCTGAAATAACGCAGAAAAATGGACGTCACCTGTCCTTCGACGCTTGCGGAAATACCAGGAAATTAGCGAAATGACAATCGCTGCCGCCACTGATCCGCCAATGTAATACCATAAAGTGTTGAAACTTTGCACTTGCTTAGCTAATTGTGTAAGGTAGATAAATGACCATTAGACAAATCTCGACGGTAGTAAAAGTACTAATCAAATTCAAGTTGTTTGAAATAGCTTTGCCCATTATTTAACTCGTGATTGACACCTGCTCTTTGAAAGGAAATACCTGAAGTTCATAGAGCGATGTAAGGTTATTTCATGTAAATGGGTCAGGTGACCTACATTTGTTTCGTCTTTAACTGATAAACAGTTTTCATCTATTTGAAAATATATTTCTTAATCAGTAAAGTTGTATTTTCTTAAGACACAATGGTAACACCAACTTACCTATGACGTTTATTTTTACAAAGGAACGGGCAACAAAACCGAGCTTGTTACGTGCCTCACAAGAATACACACCACTGTCCTCCTTCACAACTTCAGTTATAGCAAGTTCACTCATTTTTTCATCGAATCGTGTATGAATCTTTGCTCTTTCGGGTGGTGAGTCTCCATCTTTTTTCCAAGTTACATTTATTGTTTCTTCGTTGACGATGCAGGTCAATGTGAGATTGTCACCTGCTGTGAGTGCTGGATACTTACCTGGAACAACTTGAGCAGAGGCTTTTCCTACGTTAAGAAAAAGGCAATAGATTAAAATCGTGGTCCACATTTGTCACCCTCACCGTCAGCAGCAGTTCAGTGTCAGCGTCACATCGTCGTCATCGCCATGGTTATCGTCGGCATCATCATCACGGTCAACGGCAGCGTCAGCGTCATCGCAATCGTCATGGCCATCGTCATCGTTATCGTCATTTTCATTAAACTTACCGTAAACACGCAGTGCTTTGCCCATTACTTAACTCGTGATTGACACCTTCTCTTTGAAACGAAATACCTGAAGTTCATAGAGCGATATAAGGTTATTTCATGTAACCATTTACATGAAATAACCTTGCATCGCTCTATGAACTTCAGGTATTTCGTTTCAAAGAGAGGGTGTCAATCACGAGTTAAGTAATGGGCAAAGCTATTCCAAACAACAACAGAAAATAAAGCAAATACAACTAGTTCCTCTGCAACACTGCGTGTTTACGGTAAGTTTAATGATAATGACGATAACGATGACGATGACGCTGACCGTGATTATGACGCCGATAATAACCATGGCGATGACCCATATTTGTTTCGTCTTTAACTGATAAACAGTTTTCATCTATTTGAAAATATATTTTTTAATTAGTAAAGTTGTATTTTTTTAAGACACAACGGTAACACCAACTTACCTATGACGTTTATTTTTACAGAGGAACGGGCAACAAAACCGAGCTTGTTACGTGCCTCACAAGAATACACACCACTGTCCTCCTTCACAACTTCAGTTGTTGCAAGTTCACTCTTTTTGTTATCGAATCGTGTATCAATTTTTGCTCTTTCGGGTGGTGAGTCTCCATCTTTTTTCCAAGTTACATTTATTGTTTCTTCGTTGACGATGCAGGTCAAAGTGAGATTGTCACCTGCTGTGAGTGCTGGATACTGATCTGTAACAACTTGAGCAGAGGCTTTCCCTACGTTAAGAGAAAGGCAATTGATTAAAATCGTGGTCCACATTTGTCACCCTCACCGTCAGCAGCAGTTCAGTGTCAGCGTCACATCATCGTTATCGCCATGGTTATTGTCGGCGTCATCATCACGGTTAGCGTCAGCGTCAGCGTCATCATAATCGTCATCGTTATCGTCATTATCATTAAACTTACCGTAAACACGCAGTGTTGCCAAGGAACTAGTTCTATTTGCTTCATTTTCCGTCGTTGTTTGGAATAGCTTTGTCTATTATTTAACGTGTGATTGACACCTACTCTTTGAAATGAAATACCTGAAGTTCATAGAGCGATGTAAGGTAATTTCATGTAAATGGATCAGGTGACCCTTATTGTTTCGTCTTTAACTGATTAACAGTTTTAATCTATTTGGAGATACAATTTTTAATCAGTATGGTTGTATTTTTTTAAGACACAGCGGTAACACCAACTTACCTATGACGTTTATTTTTACAAAGGAACGGGCAACAAAACCGAGCTTGTTACGTGCCTCACAAGAATACACACCACTGTCTTCCTTCACAACTTCAGTTATTGCAAGTTCACTCTTTTTGTTATCGAACCGTGTATGAATCTTTGCTCTTTCGGGTGGTGAGTCTCCATCTTTTTTCCAAGTTACATTTATTGTTTCTTCGTTGACGATGCAGGTCAATGTGAGATTGTCACCTGCTGTGAGTGCTGGATACTGATCTGTAGCAACTTGAGCAGAGGCTTTCCCTACGTTAAGAAAAAAGCAATTGATTAAAATCGTGATCCACCTTTGTCACCCTCACCGTCAGCAGCAGTTCAGTGTTAGCGTCACATCGTCGTCATCGCCATGGTCATCGTCGGCATCATCATCACGGTCAACGGCAGCGTCAGCGTCATCGCAATCGTCATGGCCATCGTCATCGTTATCGTCATTATCATTAAACTTACCGTAAACACGCAGTGTTGCAGAGGAACTAGTTGTATTTGCTGTATTTTCCGCTATACACTTGTAAGACCCTTCCATCCCTTTTGTGACGCTTAAAAATTCCAGGAATGATACTCCATCGCGATTTATACCAAATGGCAGCTCAGCATCATTAAAAACCCAGACTAATGTTGGTGTTGGCACACCTGAGGCTCGACAACTGAAGTTCACAGAGTTTCCTTCCGTAACAGACTGGTTGATCGGAGGTTCTATAATCTGGGGAGATACTTGAATTAAAAAAACCCCAAAATTAATAAGGTTTGCATAGTCCATTTCAACCCCATTTAACCAACCTTTGATAAAACGACGAAACAACAACAACAAAACATCAAAACAAAAAAAGTGATGTTCAAGCCTATTTTTGACTAAGGTCAATTTTTTCGAAAGGTTTTCTTCTCGTTCAGCATAAAAATATATTGTTTAGCCTTAAGTTGTCCCATGTGTCCCAGTAACATTCATCCGTTTCTTTTTGGTTGTTGAGTGTGATGTTAAAACATATATGTTCAATGAATATCAGTTTCATCTTTTAACAATATACATATACATATTTATAATAAAGTTCGAATATAACGCGCGCTGTCATTGGTTGAAAGAGCGTGCTCTATGAGAGTATAGAGCATAGAGCGTAGCTACAGCTGTCACGCCATCTGCCAATTGTACTGTGTTCGAGCTTTTCCGGGACTTCTTTTTAGCTTTTTTCCGATAATTGAAAGTGAAATTTCGGAACTGAAGCGAGCCGGCAAGTAGCAACAGAAGAATCAAACAAAGGTTTGTAAACATACTAGGCGCCGTAATTTACGTTATTAAAACGTGAGCAGATACGAAAATCCTCAAAGGAAAAACAAAATAAACATTCCGAGTTTTAAAGATTTTCACGCTCAGTTAAATTGCAAGCTTACGTACGGTAATAAAAATCAAACACAGCTAACATTCGAAAAGTATATAAAGTTCAGTGTTCAAAAACAAAACAGAACAAAACAGAAATGATGAAAAATATAACCAAACTGGCATAATTGTTAAAATTCATACTAATCATGACGGTGTCTGAGCGAATATGATCATGCTAAGTTCATCGCGGCTCGCTCATCATGGCGATCTCCGGTCATCACAGTAAAGCAAGCCTCAGAAACTACATCAGCCACCCTTCGAGTGAAAAAATAAGAGCTTGCTCTGATATCCTTTCCGATACGTTGAGTGGAAAGTCACATCAGTCACTGCAGCCGAGTTTTGCGGCGCTGCCATCACGAGCGATCTTCATGTTCCGGTGAATTCGGCTGTCGTTCATTCAAAAAATACTCGCCTTGAACAGTTTGTTTTCGACCTTGTCATGTGAAAAAACTCGCGTGTTTTTATGAGCCATAATTCGGCTGAAGTTCACTGAACATTTCACTTCAAGATTCTGTATTAGAGACTTAAAAACTTCAGGCAAAAGTGTTAAATTCGACTTGCCGAACTATTTTAGTTTGTAAACTATCGTAGAATGTGAACTTTGATGGTTTGACACTTTTGACAGCTGTAGTCTTGTACAGCCAATCAGATTATTTGAACCATTCTAACAAGGATTCTTATTGGCTTATTGTAGCGTGCTTTATGAGAGTATAGAGCATGCTGACGACATTGTTGTTCGCTTTGGAAATAAAGTTTGTTTTGAAAATTGAAAGTAATGCTTGGGTAATTTAACGGATTCTTTATTATAAAACAAATAGAGAAGCCTTGACTGTGCTCTGTTCTGTTATAAAGCACTTAGGAAGCGGCTAGAGCACTCAAGAAGTGGGAAGAAACACTCGACTACGTCTCGTGTTTCTCCCTACACTTCTTTCGTGCTCTAGCCGCTTCCTGCGTGCTTTATAACAGAACAGAGCACAGTCAAGGCTTCTCTATTTGTTAAATAACATATGCATTCTGTAATGTAAAAAGATAGGAAATCCGTCATTTGACGTATCCAGATTGTGCGTTTTAACATTAGTTCAGGGATAAAAACATTGGAGTGGATCACAGGATTTTCAATTGGTCACGGATTTAGCTTCATTTACAATCTGGGTGTGTGTAAGTCAGAATCAACTGTACGTGATCAGGTACCCTTTTCTAGGAAAAAAGAGTACTAATGTTGGTAATTTAAAACAAGTGATATGAATGTTCCTTTAAAATCTCTCTCCAACTTCAATCCTTAATATTTAGGTAATGATACATTCAAAGCCAAGTTGATGAACTACCTTTAACACCTATGAACAGAGGTGGCTAGGGCTTTTGCTGAATCAAAGGCTTGCTGGTGCCTTGTTGACCACAGGAACGGCATGTCCTCTTTGGTGAGGTTGTATTGAAGTTGGGTGACGCTGCTTAGTTCGGAACAGAATTTGGCCAGGTAATTAATATTCCCCAGGAATCGGCGCACTGCTTGCTTTTCGGTTGGAGTGGGCATGGTGATCATAGCTTTAACTGTGACAGGGTTGGGCTGGAGGCCATCCGTAGTGGTAACATGGCTCATGAAGGTGGCTTTGCAAATAAGGAATTTCATCCTGTTGACATTCACCTTCAATCAAATCCCTCAAGCACAGCGATAAGGCTGCGGTCGTGGTCGATTCTGGCTTCCATGTCATTGGCGCCACAGCCAGGGATTAAGATGCCGTGAGTAATACCGAAGCTTAGGAGGCCATCAAGCACCATATGAATTTGGCGCTGCCGTTCTTTTGATGCAGAGGATATGACAAATAATAGCCTAGTCCATCTGTAGCGACCACATGGTGTGAACATTATGGTAATCAGAGATGATCATAGGGACAAGGGTATGTTTTGCCTCTTTGAGATCTATTCCTTCCATGCAGCTAATGGATGTTTTCTTCCAAGGTGGGGATGATATACTTCGGACATCGAATGGCTTTATTGAGAGTCTAAGAAGGGTCTAAGCAGCTCCGTATTTTTCCCGGTTTGGTGGGGGTTGGTTCTCGCTCTCGGTAGAGATACCCTTACCAGCTGGCCAATGGTTTCATACGCATCAAGGGCCGCTTTGATTGCATCCAGCTTTGAAATGGGTTCACAGTGAATGGGAGCATGAATGGGTTTGACATGGAGTCCGTGCTAGTCTGTTCTCACCTTTATTCTCGGCCTTAGAAAACCTCGAGTGACATGATTTGGGCGCTGCTCAGTAATTAAAATAAAAATTTCAGCATAAATATGAGACCCAACGTTAAATTGAGAAGACAAAGTAGGCGTTATAGCTTGGCAGGAAGTCATGAATCTCAAGTGGAAACCTCGAAAAACATTTCAAATGCTTTTCCATTGGCTCATACAGTGAAAAAATGAGCAATTTCCTGTTAGGATGCAGCGAAAGCGAAATATAAAGCTTAAAACGGCGCGACCAAACTAAAACTAAATTTTATAAATAGAAAACTTGATAAATGTTAAGAAAATAACATTTTTCTCGTTTTATCGCGGCATTCAAAGCGTCCCCCTCTATTCTATTAAACTAAAGGCTTTCGATAACTTAAAATCTGAGATATCGTCTAGTATGGCATTATTTCGCAGGGCAGGAAAATTTTTCAGTTTTCTGACCAATCAGAATCTACGTTTTCTCTAAGTTCTGTCATTATGTTTGATTTACCGGTTAATCTAAACCCGTTTTTCAAATATCATCAAAGCATCATTAAAATATCTTTTTATCCTTAATCAATTTTCTCTTTTATGTGGTTTGAACTCGTAGATCTGATTCGAAAAATGAGCATCGTCTTCACTCTTGAATTTTTGCAGTAACGAAATTGAACATTTGTTCAAATCATGAACCATAACTCTTTTTCCTTTATATGAATGAGAACTGTACCTCCTTTCACTTCAATCCAAAAGGTTGATTTCTTGCTTCCAGTGGGGTTTTTAGCGCTACATGTGTATTCGCCAGAGTCTTCAAACCTCGCTTGACGAATCGTGAGAGTGTTCTTTTTGCCAATATTAATCCCATCCCTAGTCCAGAGTACCTCAGGTGTAGGGAAACCGCTTAAAGAGCAATTGAACTGAAGAGGCGAATTGTATGTAACCGACTGATTGATGAGCCAAGGATTAATTTCAGGAGGACCTGGACGTGGAATTAAGAAGCACAGTTCAAAAAAGGTGAAAAAAAAGAAAAAAAAAACAGAAAACGAAAAGAGTAACTGGAAGAGAATAAGTAATTTAACATTTACCTGTAACAGTAACCTGAAAAGCTGCTTCACTTTTCCCTTGACTGTTCTTCGCACTGCATGTATATTGACCAGCGTCTCCATAAGTCACTTGTTTAATGGTGAGCTTGTTCGTGGTATTAAGTAGCTTTCCATCTCTTGTCCAATTCACCTCTGGTTGAGGAAAACCCCTCACAAGACAATCCACTTGAAGGGTTGAATTAAATTTGACAGACTTCTCTCGCCGAGAATTAATTTCAGGAGGACCTTTATTTTTGAAAAGGAAAGTAATGATTAATGTATAACTAATGCCCCATTCCCTCCTCTATCCTTTCTTTTAACCGTCGCCCTCCGTAAAAGTTTCTTCTCATCCCCAACTCCCTGATGTTGTAAAAATAAAAACGGCAGCGATAAGAAAATACTAAGAATGTTAAGCATTCGCTCGCCAAAATCGCGCCTGCCGTGCAGCAGGTGCAATGGTTGTCTTTTCGTTTTACGACTGAACAAAATTTCCTTCGTTTTGCGAGAGAAAATATAAATATAGCATCTAATCGGAAATAATAAAACTCCGGCAAAAAAAGTGTTGTTTTGAAGAGTGAGGTATTTAATGAAAGGACAGTCGAGCAACATTTTGCAATTTCTAAAACAGGAAATTAGTTCAGTCTTTTACTTTATCCTCATGGATGAAACCACTTACATTTACAAGGCCGTGATTCCTGAGTTCTGGAACAGTTGAATTCTAGAAGTAAGGTTATTTATATAATTTTTTTAAAGTAATGATGATTGGGCCTAAGTCAGCCCTTTTTTTAATAAAGAGAAACCATTTATTTAGGAGAAGTATTGAACTTTCCGCCAAATTGTCCACCTAGGGAATAGAGAAACTGACAAACAATGCATTTTTTCAATGCAACTTAAACCTACATGTTTGGTTATCAATCCATTGGCCAAGGCGTAATGCCCATGACTTTAAATGCAGTCTATTTTGCCATCAATACATAAGAATTCATCCATTTCAATAAAAGCTTATTAATGTGCATGCAGTCTTTTGAAGCTGTAAAACAATAGTGAAAACCTACAAACACGCCTTTGAGTTACAAATACTGAAATTTTCGTCTTGTCACTTACCGACTCTTTGCCTGTACTGGCCGCACTCTTTGCAGCCTCCATTCCACGATGACCAGGCCATGCAACCTTTGAAAACGATACGTTGTGGGAAAAGAGTCATATGTGAAATCGCTTCCTTGTTTCATAAATCTGAAGCTTGCCATAAAGGATACTAAAATAAATACTTATTTTCGTTGATAACGTGAGTTCCTAATGTCCAAGGAGGCTTCAAACTATAGCCTTCAAATTTAAAAGATTGATGCCTTGCCGTTCCCGATCTCGCCTCATTCGTGTTCTCCCAACATCCTGCAGGAATTTTTCATTTAACCCGGGAAAATGCCAATTTTTTCTATTTCTCAAATAGATGGCTGTGCAAAAACATTTTAAAGAAACAAACTAGGATTTCAATATCGTCAGCTTTGAATTCTTAACTTTTGCTGTTAAAGCTCCACCAGAAGATGGCTGAGGCCTGAGACGTTGGAATTTAATCCTTGTAATACTTAAAAGTTTGTTTCTATGCTGGCCTATGCACACTGATATACTGATCCACAAAGAAACACTCTATCTTTCCTCCATTTTTCTATTGGGAACTATTCGTTTGATCAACCATCTTTATTATGCCTACTGATAAATAACAGTTAAAACATGCCTACTTACAATCTGTTAATAGTTAGGATGAGGATGTAAGGCGAACATGAAAAGAAAGTTTGCACATTTAATGAGTAAATAAACAGCTTAACCATGTATACACACCACAGGCTACACACACCATACTCTTCAAACATGTAATCAACTGAACATGCACTCACCCGCTTATAAATCCGG